ATTTCGCTTTTAGATAGATAGATGATAGATAGATAGATAGATAGATAGATAGATAGATAGATAGATAGATAGATAGATAGATAGATAAGAGAGAGAGAGAGAGAGAGATGGATGATAGATAGAGACAGATAGAAATAGATAGATATATAGGTATAGAAGATAGATAGATATAAGTAGTTCATTGTGTGACCATTCGAAATTACAACGGCATTGAAAAAAGGGACTTACGACCGTTTTTCACACTTATGACCATTGCAGCATTCCTTAACAACCAGGTTACTAACTGAAGCACTGCAGTGATTCACTGAACAGCTGTGGGAAGCAAGGTCATAAAACAGGGGCAAAACTCACTTTGAGAAATGTCTCCTTTATTCACAGAAATTTTGGGCTCATTTGTGGTCGCAGATCGAGGACTACCTGTATATAGATATAAATTAAATTGTATATAGATAGATACCATTCCTTGTTATTATAAGCCAGCATGTGAATTTCCTAATGAATTTAGGTCAGTTGGGAAGTGAAATAAAACGATCCCAAAACTTTCCATTCCCTGAGCTGGGAATTTCTATAAATCCTTTAATTCTTTTCTTTGTTTGGCTGGTTCTGGCTCTCTTATTACCTGATCAAAGTTTCTTCCAACTGGGTAAAACTTGCTGAAGTTCTTTGTGCAGTTAAACATCTGCCAAAGATAAATATTCCTCGGTTGCTTTTTTGTTTTAAGGGCAGCCATTTGTTTGTTAAAAGGAAGAGGGTTTCTTTTTTTAATTCTGACAAGCACAAGCTAAAAATACAGATCAACATTTATAAATACAAGCCTGACAAGCTCTGCTTCAAAAGCCACCCTTCTTGTAAATTTCCACCTCCGTTAACAAAGCCTGGCTTTTAATTTTTGCATCCTAGGCACGGATCGATTTTTTTTTAATTGGGCTTTGTCATAAAGAGAATATAGGTGTTGTGGTTTGCCAGCAGCCGGTGCAGCCGGCAGCAGAAATGGACAGTGGGGAAGAACGGGGACCAGTCAGGGAGTCTGGAGAAGATTCGGACGAGGGTCCTGCGTCGGATGCAGAGGTGGGGCCAGGACCTTCTGGGAGTGGGGGGCTCCCTCTGGAACCTCCAGAATCTGGCAGCAGCGAGGCAGAAGAACAAGGGGAGCTTGTTCCCAGTATGCATATGCACAGAGCTGCTAGGAGGCGAGAGCAGCTGAAATAGAATTCTGGAGTAAGGCTGGGCGGTGATTGGCCCCTCCCATAAGGGATAAAAGTCAGACCTCAATGACGAAATCTTTGCAGGAAGCAAAGGAGTTCAATCGGTTCAGAGTCATAGTTGAAGCTCTTTATACTTCGGTTGGTTTTTTTTTTCTTGTGCTTCGGTTGGTTTCTTTTATAATTAATTTGATCCTTCTGTTTTTGGCAGCATTCCACAGCACTGAAAGGCGTGTGCTTATCTTGGGGGACTGTTTAAGATTAGTTCTGGCTGGGAATGGAAACAATTCCCAGCATTGCAATAAAATAGGTTTTGCTTTTAAAACAAGTTTGTGATTGATTACGGTTTATGAAGCCTGGGTCAGAACAGTAGGTCAGGGAGGGGACAACTGCAGTATTACCTTCCGTTTGCAATGTCCTGTGTAGGCAGTCCTCGAATTACGACCGCAGCGGGCAGTGAAATTTCCGCCGCTAAGCAGAGGAATTTGCTAAGTAACGTTGCACCCAATTTTAGAACCTTTTGGCCACAGTGCTTAAGACAATGACTGCAGTTGTTAAGTGGATCATGGAGTCGCTAAGCAAATCCAGCTTCCCCGATTGAGTTGGCTTATCGGAAGATGGCTGGGAAAGTTATAAATGGTGATCGTGTCACACGTACACAGAGACACACACACAGAGGATTGTTGCCAAGTGCCTGAATTTTAATCCTGTGACTATAGAGATGCTGCAGTGGTCAAAAGTTGTAAGTCCCTTTTTTCCAGTGCTGTTGTAACTTGGAATTAGCACTGCTGATGTTACCTAGTTTTGTAACGAAATGTCTGCAAGAAAACCACCAAGCTCAGAGAGCACCAAGGACCCCACAATCCTCCTCCTCTTCCTAAACCCCACTCTCTTCCAGCACTGATGATGTTTCCTAGTTGGGTCATGAAACATCTGCAAGAAAACCACCAAGGTCAAAGAGCACCGAAGACCCCAGAGTTCAACCGAACTTGCAAATAATTTTCTTCTATGGATACACGCAGATGCTGACACCCGTTTCGAGCTTGCGGCCTGTGATTTTTCTGGGTCAGAGCGCAAGACATTTCTCACGAGGGGATACGCAGCTGGGGAAAACATCTGGGCTTGGGATGAACGCCTTCTTTGGGCCGCTTGTGTGCCTGCAACAGAAGACCTGCCCCTGCTCTTGCGCATGTTTCTTCTTTCCTCCAGCCCTGATTTTATTCTTGAGAAGAGAGAGGCCCTCCTTCTCTCAGTTCCCATCCTCTTTTCTCGGGACTTTTGCAATCAGCTGAGTTAAGAGGTCAAAAGGTGATCTCGAATGTCTTGAAGGAAAAAAATCCAAAAGAATATCATTCATTTGGGGGAAGAACAGAGCAATTTTTAGCAACCAGGCTGGAGACCCCATCACCACACCAGGTCATGTGCATTATAAATAACCTGGACTGCATCCTTCACGTTAATCGGAAACTGCTCCGGCCAGGAAGCTGAAATGGGGTGGCCTTTGGGTCAGTCTGATCCATGGCACAGGATTATTGCAACGATAAAATGAGGAAAAAAAAAAGTGAACAATCAAATAAACAAAGGTGATTTTCGGAAGGCCCCAATTCCAGGGGTTTCTTTGCACAGGGGATAGAATTCACCCCGCGTATCTTTCAAGTCTGACAGCCGTGCAAGCGAGAAACCTTGACTTGTGAAGGTTATGATCCTAGGGTGATGGAGTGGGTCATTTTTTCAAAGCTTGGGACGATTTCGAGGGATCTGGGGACAAATCAGCAAAGATCTCCAAACTTGGCCATTTTTTAAGACTTGTGGATTTCAATATCAGGGTTGGTGGTTTTCTTGCAGACATTTCACAACCCAACTAGGGAACATCATCAGTGCTAGAAGGGAAAGGAGGAGGAGGAGGACTTTGGGGTCCTTGGTGTTCTCTGTGCTTGGTTGTTTTCTTGCTGATGTTTCATTACCCATCTAGGTAACATCATCAGTTCTAGAAGAGAAGTTGTGGGAAGAAGGAGGAGAATGAGGAGAACTATAGGCTGGGTTGGTTTCTTGCAGACATTTCATGACCCAACTAGGGAACATCATTAGTGGTAGGAGACAGTGGGGTTTTATTTATTTGATTTATTTTTGTCAATTGCTTACAAGATAATAGGTATAAGTAAAAACATAGTTATGAATACATGGATACATATAAGTAAAATAAAAAAAATCAATAGGACAGGGACGGTAGGCACGTTGGTGCACTTATGCACGTCCCCTACAGACCTCTTAGGAAAGGGGTGAGGTCAATAGTAGACAGTCTAAGGTTAAAGTTTTTGGGGTTTGGGGAAGAAACCACAGAGTCAGGTAGAGGATTCCAGACTTTGACCCCACTCTGTTGCTGAAGTCGTATTTCCTGCAATCAAGTTTGGTGTGGTTAACCTTGAGTTTGTATCTATTGTGTGCTCTTGTGTTGTTATGGTTGAAGCTGAAGTATTCATTGACAGGTAGAACATTGCAATGTATGATTTTATGTACTATACTTAGATTGGACCGAAGGCAGCGTAGTTCTAGGTTTTCTAGGTCTAGAATCTCAAGTCTGGTGGCATAAGGTATTCTGCAACGAGTAGAGGAGTGGAGGACTCTTCTTGTGAAATTTTGGGTTTGTGGAGAGGAGGAGGAGGAGGAAGAGGAGGACTGTGGGGTCCTTGGTGCTCCCTGAGCTTGGAGGTTTCCTTGCAGACATTTCATGACCCTACTAGAAAACATCATCAGTGCTAGAAGGGAGAGGAAGAGGACTGTAGGGTCCTTGGTGCTCTTTGAGCATGGTAGTTTTCTTGCAGGCGTTTCATGACCCAACTAGGGAAGATGACCGGTGGTAGAAGGCAGGATTTGTGGAGAGGAGGAGGAGGAGGAGGAAGACTGTGGGGTCCTTGGTGCTCTCTGAGCTTGCTTGCTAACCCCTTGCTTCCTGTTGCCCTCTAGATCCGAGCCTACATCGGGGGCATCGATCCAGACCACAGCGAAGCGGCCGACATGGTGGCCTTCCGCTTGAGCGCCCTCAACCCCATCGTGGACCCTTGGCTCTTCATCATCTTCCGCCATGCTGTCTTCCGCAGCCTCCGCCATTTCTTCTGCTACCAGCTCAGCTGGCCCTGCTGGTTTCGGCCGCCCAAAGGGACGACCACGCTCAGGATTCAGGACAGCCTCCCCTGCCAAGCCCAGTCGGTCTGCTGAGAGAGTCTCCTGTCCTAAACTTTGGAATTTGGGGCTCCTTGGCAGGTGGGGGGGAGGGGCCAATTTGGGGAGGGCCTGGGGAGCTGGGCAGGAAGCCCCCTCCCCTACCATCCCTGAGAGTCCAAGAATCGACAGAAGAAGCATCTCCTTGGAAAAGCTGATTGGGGAAGGATGGCAGAGTTGGAAGGTCTTCTAAGCCAACCCAGGTTGAGGAACGTTTGAGGGCATCTGATATGGCTTTGGCTGCAGGAGAAGGGAAGGCCCATTCTGCCTCCAAAGGGGGCTAAATTGGAGGGAGGGGCTGGGAGAAACACAACCTGAGATTTACTTTGCACCTCTTTGGGTCCAGCGCCCTTCTTTGACTTCAGGTAGCGTATCACTAGTGATGCTACCTTTTTGGGTACCACATGCAGGATGCTGCTGCTAGTCGCACTGAAGAATCCTGCAGGACCTGGACAGGCCTTGAAGAAATAAAGGAAGCACTGAAAATAAACCTTCATCTCGCCCTGTAACTTTAACTTATTTCTTGGATTTTATTTTTTAAACCCCCGCCATCTTCAGACGCTCGGCGGCTCATAAACCCTGAGAAACGCCCGCCACGCCAGCACATAAACTCAACTAGAGAAACTGCAAAAAAAGAGAAATAGATTTAACTAAGCCGCGATGCTTCTATTCTGGCTTCCAAAACTTAACTTCTCCCAAAGGAATTTATCTGGCCGGGTCTTTGTTGCTTCCATTTATTTTTATTTGATTTAATTTTTTGGCCCAACATCTTTTTTTCCTATTCAAATGGGATTGCGGTTTTTGGGGGAACAAAACATGGCTGGCTTTTTTTTTTTTTTTAAATTGAATGTTTTGCTGGAAGTTTTAAGATTCTTTGGGGATGAAGTGGATTTTTTTACAAGGGTTAGTTAGGGCAAACACTTTGAAAGCTTAACACCTCGTCCTTTTGCTCATGGTTCTTCCTGACCCCTATTTAAAGTTATTTCTCATCACTAAAAAACCCAGAACGGAAAAAAAAAAAAAGCAGATGAAAGGATTTTGCCTTATGGCAAGCATGTCCACGGATCAGAAAGCAGAAGTTTGTTACCGCTTTTTCCAGCCAGCAAAAGTTTATTAGATACAGATAATCAGAGTTGGAAGAGCCCTTGTAGGTCATCTAGTCCAACCCCCCGCCCAAGCGGAAGACCCTACACCATTTCTGGCAAATGGCAGATGCTTCTGACTTTTAATAAATTTTGTTAGCTGGAAAAGATGCTACCAGATTCCTCCTGGTTCTTGGCCACCCCAGACAAACAGGACTCATCTCCAATCATGTCCGGGATTACAATGACCAGTTGATCCCTTTTTCGTGTCTTCATAGCTCCTCGGAGATCTCCAGATTTTCTTTGACTTCTTAAAGGTTCCCTTGAGCTTGGTTGTTTTCTTGCAGACCTTTCATGACCCCATCAGTTCTGATGAGTGTGGGGTCTGCTCGGTTTATATACAGCAACTTGCCCTGCCACTGAGAGTGGGAGTATGGTTTCCCCCTCGATAGTTCTTGGATTAAAATATTGCTTTCTGCTAGATCGTTGGTCTGGAGTTAATCCCTGCTTATCTGCGTATCGGCTGCACAGATGATGTTACTCAGTGGGGTAATGAAAGGTCTGCAAGAAAAGCCACAAAGTACAAAGAGCACCCAGGATCCCACAGTTCACAAGCAATTCATTATCTCCTTCCGAGAACAGCCAGCAGCTCTTCTGCCCTCCAAGAAGCCCCCAAAAGAGAGAGTTGGCTTGTCGCATGTTCACAAAATCCTCAACCGGAATCAAAGTTTGCCTTTTAAAGTTGTTGGTGCTCCATCGCTGGAGTACTTCAAGAAAAGATCGACCAGCCATTTATCCGGGGTGTATATGGTCTCCTGCTTGGGCAGAGGATTGGACTAGAAGAATATAGAATAACAGAGTTGGAAGGGACCTTGGAGGTCTTCTAGTCTACCCCCCTGCCTAGACAGGAAACCCTACACCACTTCAGACAAATGGTTATCTAGCATCTTTTTAAAAACTTCCAGTGTTGGAGCATTCGCAAGTTCTGGAGGCAAGTTGTTCCACAGATTAATAGTTCTAACTGTCAGGAAATTGTTCCTTAGTTCTAGATTACTTCTCTCCTTCATTAGTTTCCATCCTGATTGCTTCTTGTCCTGCCTTGAGGTGCTTTGGAGAATAGCTTGACTCCCTCTTCTTTGGGGCAGCCCCTCAGATACCGGAAGACTGCTATCCTGTCTCCCCTGGTCCTTCTCTTCACTAGACTAGCCAGGCCCAGTTCCTACAACCGTTCTTCATATGTTTTAGACTAAACATCTTGGTTGTTCTTCTCGGCACTCTTTCCAGAGTCTCAACAACTTTTTTTAACATCGTGGCGACCAAAACTGAATGCCGTATTCCAAGTCTGGCCTTTTCAAGGCCTTATAAAGTGGTATTAAGTAACCCTTCAGGTGGTCTTGATTCTATCCCTCTGTTTATGCAGCCTAGAACTGGCAGCTGTTTTTGGCAGCTGCTGCACCTGGCTGGCTCCTATTTAAATGGTGGCCCCAGTGGTGGGATTCAAATTGTTTTACCACCGGCTTGTTGGGTGTGGCTTGGTGGACATGCTTTGCCTAATGCCGGCGTGCAGCTTTCCAAACACCAGCTGAGAGGATAAAGAAGAGAAAAGCGCAGGGAACGGTGGGAGGGCCAATCCTGCACTTTTCTCTTCTTTTTAGTATCAACTCAAAAGATACTCCTTTGGTTTTTTTAGCTGCCAGCAAAAAGGAAGTGGGGTAGAGCAGTGCATTCCTTAAATGCCTCAGATAATCGCCTTGGCAGCCGAAGCTGTTGGCGCGCAAGATTATGACTGGAGAGCATGATTGGCGACTCTTGGCTATGGATGTGTCCCATTGGAGAATATACATCCAGGGGGTGGGGGGGAAGACCAGGGTCAAGGGGGAAATGAATGATGTATTTTAGTGTTGGCTGCACCCAGCTAACGCCGACATGGCCGCTCCTAATAAATCAATTTTTTTTTTACTCTTGAGAGATGCAGCTAGAGACTTATGATTTGAATGAGAGTGGATGATTTGGAGGATTTTTTCCCCTCCTCTCAGCCGATCGTCAGAGCCCCTCCCCCTTTTTTTTACTACCGATTCAGCTGAACCCGTCCAAACCGGTAGCATACCACCACTGGGTTGTCCAGGGGTCTCCAATCTTGGCAACCTGGAGGACATCAAGTCCCAGAATTCAAAGCAAAGCTGGCTGGGGAATTCTGGAAGCTGAAGTCCTCCAGGCTTAAAGTTGCCAAGGTTGGAGACCCCTGCCCTTAGACTCCGAGGACCTTTCCAATGCCCTGATTTCATGAAGTCTCTTGCTAACTCAACAAACCCCTCCTCTCTTCCAGGGAGGAGTTCACTGAGGGCAGACGGAGAACCTCCTCCCCCAAAATGGGACGGCCCTCCTCTTAAGCCTGCGAATGGCCTCGGGGGGAGGTGGGAGAGAGGAAATGGGGAGCCTTTTCCCGCAGATGGAGGTTGAGTCAGACCACTTTTCCAAGCCTTCTCTGGCTGCTCCTCCTCCTCCTTCCCCACCGTGGGCGTTTGAGCATCCGAGAGCCCCCTCCACGACATGACTCTCTCCCGTCCCGTGGTCTCTCCTGGATGTCAACAGGACTTCCTCTTCTGACAGCGAGCGCTAGAAGTTTGAGCAACCCATCCGCGGCCTTGCGACAGCATCTTGAACTCAAGTCAAGAAGGGAAGACATGGGTGGAGGAACAGGGGCCTTCGTCAAAAAGGATGGGCCGGGCTAGATGAAAGCCCTTTCCGCTCCCTTTGGACCAGAACCACACAGACGGCCAGCCACCCGTGCAGTCCTGTCTTCCAGAGATCTTACGAAACCAACATCCCTCCGGCTGTTGGAAGGAGCAACGACATACAAGTTCTGGATGGAGGAGATGTCGGATGGGGCGGCCAGAAGAATCATGAGAGAGTTTTCCTTTGCTCCAGGCTGGGGTGTGTGTGTGTGTGTGTGTGGGTGGGTGTGGGTGTGGCTGAAATGAACTCCAGTGAGTTCATTTAGCTTTCAGTTGAATTCAAATGATCCCCATTTCGGAAGATGGCTTTCGTTTTCTCCCTTGCTTGCAATACCTCCCCCCCCCCCCCCCAACACACACGTTGGAATTTGGGAATCAGGTCTACAACGGCTCGGTAGGACGATGGGGGTTAATGCTAGATTAATCACCCAGCAGTAAAAAAACATCCCGATGAAGGATGGAGCAACTCTGGCCAACAATCAAACAGTAAGCAACAGCAATAAACAAGGGACCATCAAGAAGAAAACCACGTTCCAACCAATACTGGCACGACACACCAGTTGTGTTATATATAAAGGGAGCAAACCTCCATTCTTGCACTGGTGATGTTACCTAGTTGGGCCATGAAACGTCTGTGAGAAAACCACCGAGCACCAAGGACCCCAGCAGAGTCCTCCTCCTCCTCCTCCTTCTCCTCTTCTCCATAAACCCCATTCTCTTCTACCACTGATGATGGTTCCTAGTTGGGTCATGAAACATCTGCAAGGGAACCACCAAGCTCAGGAAGCACCAAGTCCTTCTCCTCTCTCCACACACCCCACTCCTTCTCCCTTCTAGCACTGATGATGTTACTTAGTAGGGTCATGAAACATCTGCAAGGAAACCACCCAGCTCAAGAGACCACCAAGGACCCCATCGTCCTCGTCCTCCTCTTCTCCATAAACCTCATTCTCTTCTAGCACTGCAGATGTTTCCTAGTTGGGTCGTGAAACATCTGCAGAAAACCACCCACCTCAGGGAGCACCAACCCCTCCTCTCCTCCTCCTCCTCCTCCTCCTCTCCACAAACTCCACTCCCTTCTAGCACTGATGTTTCCTAGTTGAGTCATGAAACGTCTGCAACAAAACAAGCAAGGTCAAAGTGCACCGAGGACCCCACAGTCCTCCTCCCCCTCCCCCCT